CGCCCCCCCTCCGCCCCCGGCCTCGGAGCCCGGCCGGCAGCGAGCGCGCTGAGGCCGAAGATGGGAGGAGGGTGTTCGAGCCCTCTGAGCGGGCGGCAGCGCAGGTACCTGCGAGGTAAGAAACGACCCTGACCCTCTCCGTTGCTTTTTATTATTATTTTTTTTTGGCGGGGGGGCTATAAATCCTGTCGGCAGCGAGTTGTGGCAGGCTCCCTGGGTGGTGTCGGCCCTCCTTCCGCGCCGCAAGGCTGCCAGCCTTGGCTCGGTGCTCGCCGAGCTCACGTTCGGGCTTTGCGAGGCGTGAAAGCTGGTTTAGCCCTTGGTTTTAAGGCGTTAGTCGGACCGAAAAAAAAAAAAGACCGAGCGTGTGAAACGAGTCTCCAAACCCTCTTCTCTGGCGCCTTCCTCTTGGGATGGCCCTCGGAGAGAGGGTTGGGAAACGCCTCGTCCTTGGGCTGCCAGCTCGCTGCCCCCCGCCTAGGCTCCTGTGTCTTGAGCCGGGCGTTTCTCTGTGCCGTAAGACGTCTCTGGAGCTTCGGACTGCGGCTTTATTGTCCGATTTTTTCAAGCTTACGGGGCGTGACATTTCAATAACTGCCGGCGGTGAATTTGCTCCCTCGGCTCCCTCTTTCCAGCCGGCGGAAGAAGCGTTTGGAGGAGCGGTGGCACTTAAAAAGTCTTTTTTCGTTTTGATTAGACCCTCCGAGATGTCTCAGGTCCTTTTTTGACCGGACGCCTTCCCATGCTACGCCGACCGCGCTCCCAGGGGTGATAAAGCCCCGCCGTTTGGGAGCGGGGTCCAGCGACGAGTGCAAGGAATAAAGAGCCGTAGCCTTTTATTTCTCGAGGGACGGAGAGGTTGCTTCGTGCCTCGGCGCTCGGCTTCCGCAGCTCTTAGAGGAGAGAAAGAATGCTAATTAAACCCAGCGAGCGGCCTCCCGCGGGAGGAGGGTACCCCCCGAAACCGGCTCTGTTCTCCCTCTGCCCGCAGGGCGCGCAGACGCCACGATGAAGAACTTCGTGCCCTATTACCGGAGGCAGCTGGCGACTGCCCTTCTGAGACGGCTCTCGGGGGAGCTGGACCCCCGAGGGAAACCGGCCCTGCAGCTCCTGCCGAGCGAGGTAAAAACCCGCTGCAACCTCCCCCGGGGAACGCTTAACCTGCTGAGGTCGGTCTTGTCCCGGAGGTGTCCGTCCTCCCGCGGACGGGAAGACACGGCGGCCGTTCCCCGTCTCTTGGCAGCTTCGCGTAATTAAGTACCGTTACGCAGAACAGTGACCCGCCACTAGGGAAAACTTTACCTTTCTTTCGCGGCTTTAGAAGTAAGCGTTTAGGAGCATATCTTAAGAGAGATGACAAGGCGGGATCGACGGCCGAGGATCTAGCTCACAAATCAACGCCAACGCCCTGACGGCGTCGCCGCCGTTTACCGTGGAGAGCCACGACGCGGTTTTTTTAGGCGCTCTCTTTGCTTTTCGTCACCGCTCGATGTCCGTGGCCGCCTGCCTCTCGCTATTATTTCTACCGCGCTGGCAGCGAAAGGTCTCGGCCGGGCCGGCTCCCACCCTGGGTCCGCGCCGGGCGGTGGGTCTGTCTCCCCGCAGCGCTGACGCTTTGCACCTTCGCTGAGGTTTTCTGGTTCTTCTCTCGTGTGTCCTCAGCTCCGGGGGCCGCCCGACGCCGCTCTGCACGACGGATTGCTCTCCCGGTACGACGGCGATTCCTGCAGCTGGCAGGAGAATTACTTCGTTCTGCTCGGAGATTTTACCCTGCGGTGGTTCGAAAGCGAAGAGGTAAACGTGCTCCTGCTGCAGGGGCGGTACGAGGGAGGATTTTCTGCGGTCAAACCTCATGAAACCTCAAACCTCGTCCCCTGCAGGCAGAGCCAAAGGTGGGCGCGGGGCTGTGCAGATGCCGCTGCCGGCACGCTCCTGTAAAAGCCGGCCGCTTCCCACCCGCACGGCTGAACAACGGGGTTCTCCGCGCACGGAGGATCCCTGCACAAATACATCCCGCTTCCTTAAAATTCGCCCCGGTTTACTGCGTTGCGTTGGATTCCTTTGTTGTTTTAACGGTCGCTGCTCAGCCGCGCGAAAGAGGTACCGAGTTCGGTCGGTTTAACGGCCGGAAATGCCGTAATTTGACGGTATCGAATAACGAGCCGAATCAGCAATCCGGTGGTTTTTGTCCTGTACGTCTTTGAAGAGCGTAAGAATGGTCCTGCTGGGACAGACCGTAGGCCCGCTACCCCCGATTTCCAAGGAGACGGGAGATGAGGGTGAAGAACGAGGCTCGCGTGCAGCGGTGTCTTCCCAGCTGGTGCGCCGACAGTCGAGACCCAAAAGCCAGAAGTTTTCTTGAGACCTCCAGGTTTAAGAGCCGTGATTTGACGGCAGTCGGTGCCGTATGGCGAAAGCTGGGTTGTTGTACGTCTGCGTTTCAAGGACCTGCTTTCGTTACTGCGTGAAGTTTTCTAAGGAAAAAAAAAAACAAACCACGTGGGAAGACCTCGCAAATCCGGCCGCGCGCCGGGCTCCGAGTTCGTCGCTGTCAAAAGAAAGATCGGCGCGAAGCAGCGTGGGCTTTTGGGTCGGGGGAAGGGGAAGAACGAGCTTCCTGTTGTATTTTTAAACTGGCCTTGCCGCAGTCAGCCCTGCTGGTATCACAGAAGCACAGAATCGGCTGAGAGAGTTGGGGTCGTTCAGCCTGGAGAAGAGGCGGCTTCGGGGAGACCTTATTGCAGCCCGTCAGTACTGAAAGGGGGCTTAGAAAAAAGGCGGCGGCAGACTTTTTAGCAGGGCCCGTTGCGACAGGACAAGGGGGAATGGCTTTAATGGCTCGGGCCCCTCGCTCCAAGAAGGACGTCGAGGGGCTGGAGCGTGTCCAGAGAAGGGCAACGAGGCTGGTGAGGGGTCTGGAGAACAAGTCTTGTGAGGAGCGGCTGAGGGAACTGGGGTTG